TTTTTTTTTTAAAAAAAAAAAAAAAAAAAAAAAAAGATTGCAAAGTCCTTACTAAAAAACAGCTGATTGTTTTCAGTTAAAGTAAGAAGAACTTGTGCTTTCCGTCTGCACTGAGAGCAGTGAATAAAAATTATTCATCTGAACCTTCAAGTGCCTATATACTCCAAAAATATCATATTTATACGATAACCACCACCAGTGGTGAAGTATTCAAAAATACGTGATAAACACCACCCAATTAAACAATTCATCTGTGCTAGTAAAATTCAGTTGCTCAGTGTTAACAGTTTCGTGTTTTAGAGGTGTGTCAAAAGTGTGGTATAAAAGCACCACAAGAATTTACTTACTCGTTTCTATAAAAGTGGTTAAAACTTGCAATAATTTATGCAGACTTTGTCGACAGACAATAAGTTTTGCTTATTTTAATAAAAAGCACTTACAACTATGTCCTTCGCCACAAACATAATCGAGTGCAGCATCAGCAACAGCAAAACGAGCCTTGAACGGTTCAATCGGATAACAGGCTTGTTTTGGCATCGGACTACCCAAACATTGGTTGAACTTATTGTATGCACTACAATTACCGTTGCTTATCATAAATGCTTTTTTGATCATCAATCATACTTTTAAAGTTCTGTAATGTCAAATTAACCGAAAGCATACGGTATATACCAAATGTGTTGTTCAGAAGAAAAAAACGAAGTAAAAATACGAAAGAAATAGAAAAAATTTTTTACCCTGTCTTCACCACATAAACTTTTAGGTTTTACGACCACTAAGAAAACCTATTATCATATACCCTAAGTTGGCTTCTCTTAATATATTTATGATATACACGTATACTAATGAAAAAAATATCAACAATTTCACACAATAAAAACCTAACTAATTTACAGGCATTTTAAATACATAGAGCAAATAATTTTTTTACATAATATTTATAAAATTCAATAAATTTTTATTTACAATACCAGTTATTACTTGTATTTTAATAGTAGTTTGGATTTTTATCAGTACTGCCAGTCTTTTGATTAGAATTCATAAAACTGCTATAAGGTCAATGAACAATTGTCGCGTTGTAGATTATACAGTTGCAGCTTTTTCAGATGCCAAAGTTTAATCGTTAAAATTAATGCTTCATGTCAAACAGATTTGAAAATAACAAAAGATTTTATTTTAATTACCTGCATAATTCAATAAAATATTCTCGTTGTTGTCTACTAAGATCATTTAGCGTCAACTGGTCGACGTTTACTGAAGAATGACTGAATACACCAAGTCTCATCAAATCACTAGCACATAAAGTAAGTCGTTCTTGAAATTGTGCGTCACAATTACTTGATGTGCTTTCCTTAAAAATAAATTTTTTTTTTTGTACTAGTTTGTAAAAAAAATAGTTTCTGTGTCATATTCTCTTACTCCACCCTTTAATTTTTACCTAAGTAAGATATATACTTGTGTCAAGTGTTAAGAAAAGAAGCATGTAGATTTTCTGTAAGAATTAAAACCTGCGGATACACCGGTCGATTCGTTGTTGTCTGTTGAACATTTTGTTGATTATGCGTAAGCTGCTGTAACTGTTGCGTAAGAAGATGATTTTGTGCTGGAAACTGCTGATACTGTTGATACGGATTTTGTGGTTGAACTCGAGGATGTGGTTGTTGTGGCTCATAGAACCGCTGCGATAAACCTTTGTCTGCAAAATTTTGTTAACATTGTATGTTCTCTTTTTCTTCACTACTTTAGCGGACAGTATATCTTTTTTTGGTCCCAAGAAATAAACTCCATTTCCCTTTCTTTGAACTTTATTCATGCGCGCCAAACCCTTGAACAATGATTTTGTATCAGTACAAGTCGTTCTACAATTAATATTGAATAATTTATTTATTTCTTTGAAGAAAGTTACATCCGATTAGTCTAGCTAACATGTGTTGAATGAATAAGTTTACAAAACACTAAAAACTTCAGGTTTTTCATTTAGAAGAAAAAAAAAGAGGAAGAAAAACTTAAGCTATCAAATCATTTAGAAAAAAAAGAATAATTCACATTAAAACTTATCTGATTTAAAGCAGAAAAAAGAGGAATAAGAAATGAAAGTAAAAAAATTGAAAAATTATATGTGGCTATTACAGATTATTGAAAAAACTGCAAGAAGAAACCCTCTCATTTTCAATTGGCATTTCTCTTCCCTTCTCACAGTTAAAGCATTACGCAACATTGGAAGGCTAATATTACTGTCTGGAATACTAGTGACCGAAAAGAAGACGTAGACCGGGATTTTACGTTAGCTGCTAAATGACAGATGATCGTAATGGGAAAAGATACGATAGATGCAAAATAAAAACACTTACCAATCAACGTTACAAAAAATATCAATGGTGCTATGCTTATTTTTGCAAACATAGTTTATGGCACAGAGCTTGAGAAGCAACAGGATCCTTGAAACGAGGGAAGGCAATCGAAAACACCGAATGAAGAAGCAAAACAAAACTATGTAGAGTTGACTTCAAAAAGTTAATTTGAAAAAATTTTTTGTTCAAACGAAATTGAATAATTCTGTTGCAGGTAATTTATAGGTTGAGTTTTACGAATAATGCTTATGGGGGAGGAGCAAATTACTCAAACAAAAAGCAAGCAAAAATGGCAAAAACAAAGAAAGAAAGATTAAAATTTAAAAAGTAAGCAAAAAAGCAAAGAAAATTGCGAAAGAATTATACAAAAAAGCGATAAATAATTTTAGCTACGGAAGTATCTGAGCATCGACAGAATTAGATGATCGTTCACCGTTCTGTAAACAACCCAGCTAATCTGATCCCGACAGCAACAGCGCCCCACAAGACAACAGTTCATGTACTTTTGTTCTACCTAAGCGTCACCCTCACGCTCAAAAAAGCTTCGTTATTTTCTTTCAGTTTTTATTTTCTGTCCTTTACCTATTCAAAGAAGGCTTTACCGACAAATATGTCTTAAAAAATGTCAATTCTATCAATGCCTCAACGCTTGTTTTCCACTGTGTCGACAGGTTTACCACCGATTACGCGGTATATATATCTGACATTTTTGTATGTACTTATACAGATAGACTGTTGATTAAGTTACATGCAAACAGCCTTTGCTCTTTTCTTTTTTCACATTAATAACGTAGTAAAATTACGTTGACCTTCAAGTCCATTTTTCCACTGCAAACTACTTGTTGCCAATTTTTTGATATATTTCTGAATGTGCAATGCTCGAGCTGTTGACACTGGTCGATCCATGTTGAACGTCAAGCAGTACAGACAAGAAAAAAAAAAGACATCGGTCCATATCTACTGTAAATTTTTCTCACCGATATTCAATATAAATTTTGAGAGGTTTATTCCGTTATTTCACACTGTCAATGCTAACAGTAAAAATAATTCGATTTTTTATTATCGCTGAACTAATCATCATCACACACCTCATCAAAACCTTTCCTGCTGAGTAAATTAGTAAGAGTATCTAAATGAAAGAAAATTTTACGTTCAACTTATTGTTGTACCGAAACAGCTTGCCAAAAGAATCAGTTCCTAGCGAACAACAAAAAAACCAGTGTACGAGTTAATGTCTCTGAACTAAGCAGACAGTTCCAACAGCAGTATGTACTGTAAAACTACTGGAGAACTTCAACAAATGCTACTCCTGTTCACCAAAGATAAATACCTAAATAAAAATTCAGAAGAAAATCCCCTTGCTGAAACCGAATTCCTCACACATATAGCTTCGCACAAGAATAGCTACGTCATTTACCAAATTTAGCTGCATCATAAGCACCTTTAAATATAGCCAAATGCTAAACTTTTAAAACAACCTACACTGCTCTATCTGCTCACCGTCGAAACAATTGTCCTCAAAAAAAACCTCTTCTAATTGGCCAGTTCCTGACGTTCACTCCTCACCTTCTCTTCGCAGTTTACGACGGCTGATGCTTCATCTCCGACCAACATCGCACAGCACATACAATTTGTTAAGAACCAATAGCCAAACATGAGTTTCAATAATACAAAGCGCTCTCCCTAAGAGCCTTTCACAGCAAAGCTTGGTAACCCGTACAGTAACTTCCAGGCCTCATTCAGAACGAGAAAGCAAGAAGTCCGCCACCCTAAACAAGCCCATCATCATTGAAATAAATCTACTGCACCTCCCCACCTTCCTCACTTGAAGTGACTATAATGAAAACCTTTTTTATTGTTCTCCGATCTAAATAACTCTTTTAAAACAGAAGCACTAATGGCAAATGCAGAACTTCTAAACAATGTGCTATCCGGTTTAATGAAGAGTACTCCAAATTGCAACAATAACGACAAATCGGCACAAGCAAAGGGAAGAACAACTAGAAATTAAACACACACACCATTTCATAAAGTCGTTGTAACAGCTGCAAGCCTAACTAAAAAGATACCGTCCCTAAATACAACAGCCTACCGTGGACCACACCATTTGAATACAACAATGCTACCCCCAATTTCCATCTGGTTCTCTGAATAATTTAAATCGTATTGCAGCTTGTCAATTTCAGGACTTGTTGACTATTGAAAAACATGTAATCAACCCTCCATACAGGCCTGACTAATTCTTATCCCATTTATGACAGCCAATCTAAAATTAACTCGACCCAGCAGAGGTGATAAGGAACTAAGTGATCTAAATGATAACACTTTCAGGATAGTGGCAAAAATCGTGTTCGCAAAATGGGGGTTGCGGTTGATAATTGTAACTCACAGACAACACATTTCAAATAAAATTAATTACAAGGAATAAGACAACAAAGTTTACTCCTCAACATCTAATTTCAGAACAAAATAACGTTTTTACTTTATTAAATTATAACAGTCTTTTGATAGTAACTGCTCCAAAATCAACTCTTATCAGTGTCGCCAAAACACTGCTATAAAGTCATGAAGAACAAAAAATGCCGACGAAGATCAATCAGGAACTGGATTTTAACAGGGTGCGGTGTTACAAAACAAAATTTGATAAAGAAAGAAAACTACTCTGACTGTATTGATACAGTACGCAGTCTAGGACGTGTATTTACTGCTTCTACTTGAAATAACCGAAATTCATACGTAACTGCTCCAAAAAGATGAATGTACAGACTGTGTGAGGAGCGAGTCGTACCCATGCCGGGAAAAAGCCCTGCAAAATCAATAACGCTGCTAAAAAAGAAACTGATCCTATTCTCGCAAAATAGAAAGTCTCGTACGAACAGCAAATTCCCGTAAGTAATACGAAAAAACATATCAATACCAAGTTTGCACCTTCAAAGAAACCAATTATTCATGTAGCTTGAAAAAAACCACCATACCTTGAAGAAACCTAATGGACCAGTCTTTGCTGTGTAAAAGAAGCAGTCCATGATGCCCTAAAAATGCGCTTAAAATGAATGTGAAATACCATCCGTTTTAAGAAATAACTGTACGAAAGAACTTATGATATATTGCATAATATCACTGCCCAGGCCAAACACTTTCTCAATAGTCTTTAAACAGTAGATGCAAAGCAGAAAAACAATTCCTGAAAACACAGCGAATTATAACACAACAAATCCGAATGTACCTTAAATTGACCGGGCTTTGCATTCATCATACGAGTTTTCATAACATCTAGAGGCTGTGTGAGTACTGTAGCAATAGAAGCCTAAAAACTCAATAAATGTAAACAAAAGTGAGGAGTCACCCTAAAAAAGTTTCGCACACCAGGTTAAATGAGAAACATTAGTGAGGAAAAAAAATGGGAGAATAATAACTTTATCCTAAAGAAATGTTGGCTACAGAAACCCAAAGACTGACAGCAGCGAAAGACGAAGTGAAATGAGTCGTCGCATTGTCTTTGAAATACCCAGTGCCCAAAAGCGTCTGTTTTATCTGATCATAGAAAGCTAACTGCCCAATGGTCATGAAAACTGCACGACTGCTAGCCATAGTCGCGCCATTAAAAAGTTTAGTGATGCCTTCTTCACGCATTACTCGAATCACTCCATCGACAGCATGTTTATAGTTACGCCTCTGCGCCGCTGGAAGCTAAAAATCAATATCTTAGCAAAAAAAAATAAATAAATAAAAACAGAACATCCAGTACCAACAGCTGAATCCTTTCTTTTGCAGTACAAAAAGTTAATCACTTGGCGACTACCAAATAGTTTTGTTTGTATACAAGGGCTTAGCTTTGAACTCTCGAAAGCTTCTCGCCCTCGTACTTACAGAATAGAAGATAAGTGAAAAAACTTCTTCGAATACGCTTTTCAAAAAATTTAAAAAGCAAAACTTTTCACATAATTAACTAATTAATCATTAAAATAAACCACAAGTTTTTAGAAACAAAGTCAAACCTTCATATCGTTTTGCATGCGGACGTTAACCATATCACCAGGTGTACCAACCCAACCACCACATGCTCCACTAATACCAGCAATTAGTGCTTTCTGATAAAAAGGAATAGATTTAGTGTCTGAAATACAAATATTAGGAATCGCTAGAATGAAAAACTTCAAGGAATTTCATCATTCAAGAACCGCTTCATTAAGCCAGAAACGGCATTTCAGATAGGATAGCAAAAAGTGATAAAATCTCAAAATTGTCTGAATCTCAATATTTCCTTTCAATCCTATAAAGATTAATATATAGCTTTGAAATTAGTTCAGATTTTATTACATATTTCCCCCTTTTATTTGGTTCGTGCGAAACTTACTAAAGAAAACAACCGGTAATAAAAAATTGAGTCCCTCCAGTTAGGTTTGAACAAATTAATACAAAGTTCATAAACTAATAACTCCAAAAAAATCCTTAAATAAAAACCCTATTCAGGTGACCTAAATTGGAATTGCCAAAACGTGAAACTGAAAATTTTTAGAAAAAAACTTCAACAGAAAATTTTGTCCTATTTAGTTTTGCAAATGCAAAAATAGAGTTTCAACTCATTGATACTCAAAGGTGCGAAAAATTTCAAAAACATACCACCAGGAAACTGTTTTTTTATCGTTTCATACATGCCAAAACGAGTAGTGGAATAAGTGAGCTAAAATTTAAGTTTGCGAGATATTTAACCAAATATTTACAAACCATGAGGAAAAGTCAAATACCTTAGCGAACGATATGAGTAAAAGAAATTGAAAACTTAAAAAACCATATACTTATTAAAAATTATGTAATTAACAAGTGAAAAATTGCTTTTCTCATTAAGACAGTCCACGAAAAAACATAAAACAAACTTGTCTAAGAAGAGAAGCTGAGATTCCATTGTAAAAACCTCGTACACCATCATTTACATAAATTCTTTTGATCAGTTGCCCAAGCGTCTGTTTCTCCGTTTGCTGCGTTTGTAAATGCACCTAAAAGTTTAAAAGTCAGCAAATAATTAGTGCCCTTCATACTACTGTTCTAGTGTGAGTATGCGGAGCATTAATGCAACTTGAAAATACTAATTTCTACGAGAATAAGACCAAGCAATTGCCAGTTCTAAACTTTTCCCACACAATAAACTATTCAGAAGCAACTGAAACTGATTTACAACACTACAACCTACTCCAAAAACTTCTTTTTTTCTAAACAAATATATACAAATTTGTAAATGGACATATGCATAATTGCTCCTCGCTTAAAGCTTCAAGTACAACCCTTCTTGGAGTAAATCAAAAACAAAGTTAAGCTGATGAACCAACATTCGACTCATCAAACATTTCTTTAAAGGTGATAACTACACAAGAGATCAACTAACTTTTAATAGATCAAGGGGATGGGTAACACACGCTGCTCCCGCAGAGGCGAGTCCTCCAAAGTACCAACGACCAATACGATCTTCCTTCCTTCTTTGTGCCATGCCCCTTGATTATAGCCTAGGCATAAATTAGCTGTAACTTCCTCTCCTCCAACATTCAAAAAAAAAAAAAAAAAAAAGCTGCATTACAGTTTCGACCGTGAATGCGATGCCGCTCATACTTTAAAATAAAAACGTCGAAATGAGCGAGAACAATTCGACAGTATTTCAGCACATACAAGTTACATAAACAATGGACGGATGAGAAAACAAATATACAGTCATGCTATAAAAATACCAAATGAAGCTCAATAAAACCTTAATGACGCGCTTTTTACGAAATTAAAAGCCAAAGAATTCCAGGTTTTTATACTGCTCCTAGATTTGGCTTCAAAATTGTTTTTGAATTTATCATACGCCATAAGATCACTAGTCCAACCCTGAATTCAAGTAAACCAAGTGGGTCCCGAAAAATGATGTCAAATTTTTAGCAACGATAACGCCAAAAGACCATATAGCATGTACCCTGATTTACAAACGCCCAATCAGTAGTTACAAAGCGCAAAAAAACTTACTGACATCTTTCTACTTTTAAAGAGACTTTACCAAGTCCTACGGAATTAACTTCACCCGTACTGCTAGTGTAGGATACCCAATTGTTAAACAACATAAAGTTATTACTTATCCCGCTGCAGTAATCCAACATTCAGAGCTGTAATAGTTGGTTCCACAATGCAAAAAGTTTAAAGACTGCACTACACTCAACGAATACTTGACGTCAAAAAATTTTTTTTGCATAAATGGTTCCACAACAACAGAAAAAAAAATCTTCCACATAACAGCAATGCTCACCATCATTTGGACTGCGGAACATAGTCTAAACGTTTTACCTTTAAAAACGTGACGTTCGGAAGTGCGGCAAACAGTTGTACCCGCACAAGCTGCACTCCAAGAATTCCACACGCCTACGTGCGTTTTTAAAAATCTTCAATCAAACTGTTAGAAATCGGCCAGACCGCAGACGGCTAGACACTGTTGGCGGTCAGACACGCTGACTTTTCTGAGGTATTTTTCAGCCGCACAACACCAGTCTAGTCGAGCTCTTCAAGTTTGCTCTAGATACATGTCGCAGTTCAGCAAAGCGTCATGTGCTCGTATTATTTAAAATTTTAATAAAATCAAGCAAAATGTATAGTGGCTTCCCTGACCACCGGTAAGCAGCAACTTGTTTCGCTTCCCCGCGACGATCAAGCGAAAGAAAATGTCGTTCAGACAACAACTCCTTCACATAATGCTTAGAAAAAAAAAATACATCCACCATCTATCCTCAAGAAACCAAAAGTGTCGTCTGGTAAGCAAAGCATTTAAAAACAACCTTGGAATAGTTAAGCCTGCATCCTAAGACTATACACATCACATGTATTAGCAACTGAGTCCAAAACATGCTGACTTTATGATGTTACCCTGCTTTGAACTATTGTATATTTTACGCTCTAAGGATTAAAGGATGGTCTTATGAACCCTTCACCCACTCCTCCCTAATTTTTCTTCAATGGCTTTACGCTTCTGAAATTACCCAACACCAACTTCTGAACATAAGTAATTATTATCTACTTTTCAGATACAATTATTCCTTATATTCTATAGGACAAAAAAAAGCCAATGAAGCATCCAACTACCGCATTATTCTAACCGTCTGAATTTAAACCCACTTAATAAACGATTATCTACAAACTCAAGCTCTTTAGACAGACGCTGTCATTAAGCAAATATATCGGTGTGTAGTCACTGCTAAATATCTAGCTCTGTCGTCATGCTATGCTCTTCAAAATCATCTTAAAAAATGGCAAAAATGGAGAAAGAAGAAGCGAAAAAATGTTTGTAAAATTTAAAAAGCTTCAATTTCTGACTGATAAGGAGACTGCTGAGTGGCAAGAAGAGGATTCTGTTTCCGCCATCAACAAGAAAATAAAAGTCGTTAAGGGAGTGAAAGAAAAGCTTGGTTTCTTTACGAAATAAAAAGAAAAAAGTTAGTTACTTCTTGAAGTACACCGCTAATTGATATTGTTTATCACTCTGCAAAATTACTAATGACCCAGTTCCTTCTTTTGTTGTTGTTTTTTCTGTTTTTTTTTCTTTTTTGGCAAACTTCAAAAACATTTTCGGACATAACATTTTTAAGCCGCCTTTGCACATTTCATCCCAGCCCATAATAATTCACTACTCCTCTTTGAAATATTTTATCCAAATGAAACACAATGTTGGGGTGTTCCTGACGTTGTCGGATAGCCCAAATATATCGGAGTAACAAAAAAACCTGCTTCCCTTCACTGAGTAAACTACTGTGGTTATTCACAAGCAAACCAGAAAAGCAAAAAGCAGTTATCAAAGCCTACAACTTTTTTTGTTGATTGGTGACTGTGAACGAAACTCCCTACCTCTTATGGCTTACAGTTCACTTAAAAAAACTCAATTAAGATCTGTAAAATGGTTAAAAGATTTTGAATTAAAAATAAGTAGAAATGATAATTAGAAAACTTTAGACTTAACAAGTGCAGATCCGAACTTTGTTGCGTTTAAAAATTTTTCAACCACTGTTCACGGAAACAGTACCATTAGAATACCAACCAACCAAACTGTCCACAAAGTATGCTGTGACCAACCCAACTGTTCTAAAACAACTTCAAACCCAAAATCAAATCTTCTGGTACTCTGTCTTCTCTACTTGTCCCATTTTTCTTTCTATTGCAGCTATAACTGCTAAACAATTCCGCTTCTGCAAAACAAAAATATACAAGCTTATATTTCAAGTTGTCTTTACCTTTTCTTACGATAGCCTTCTACCTTCTGATAAAGTGGAATATTGATAACCTCGATCAATATTTGGAAAAGACAGTTGCTAAAAATACTTTTAAATCTTACCGATTTCTTCCTTAACGGTACTACATTCTGCAAAATTACCTTGAGAAAAAGTGTTTCAAAAGTAAAAAAATGGGCGTTTAAATGAAATTAACTCATAACACCTCTTCCTAGCGTTGCCTTTAAACCTATACTGGTTCCCCATTTATTTCTTCCAGGACAGTTTCTGGTATCCCATTTATTTCTTCCAGGACAGTTTCAATTAAGAATTAATGAACCTTCTATTACGATCAGAAGAAACCAAGCGGTTAAGAACCAATACAGCACCAACGAGCAGACAGAATTATTATCTTACGAAAAGAAAAAAACGTTAAAGTACCGCTTACTCGAAATACTGTCTCATAGAAGATGTTGACACTTCTATAAACAACCGCTCTCAATTCCGTGTTTGTTTCATTCCATCTCAACGAGAAATTTTTGCAACACTGTCACAAACATTTACAGCAAACATGAAATGCATCGTTCTAACCAAAGAATTACAGCAAAGAACCTGTCACTTCCTCAAAACTTAAGATGACTTCCAAGCTCGCTTCACAGTGTTGTTACTTCCCTACTTGAATTAACTGAGCAAAAAATGGTGTGGAACTAACCAGTTATTTACATTTAAAAAGAGTAACAGAAAAAAAGTGTCTAGTGTGACAGGAAGCATGCAATAAATACCGAGAGAATGCACGAGTACAAGTAAACGTGCATACTACAAACCGATCATTCCTGTGAATCGGTGCCAAACCTACGTTTTCACACGTTGTTTAACGGTTGCTGCTGAGATACTTTCCCGCTTGCTTGACAATCTGCCAGCAGTCCTAGAACTCCACGTCTATTTGCTTGATTGTTGATCCCATTTGTCATTTTTGGTTGTATGGCTACGTATAGCAGGTGACTTCCGGTCGCAATGCTTCTTTCGCGGTGCAAACCTGCCGCCTAGCTAAATGAAGCTAACAAAATAAGCCGGTAACAGCTACGAGCCTGTGCAAAACCAGATTCCAACTAGAGACCTTTTAAGCAAGGATTTAAACCTGAATCAAAGTTGCACTACGAACGTCACGTGTCTCCTGACCATTACCTCGCTTTACAACTGATCAGCACCAATATTTGCAAACGGAGTTCATCATACAGGTTAACCTGTTCATGACTTTTTAAAAAAGGGTCCTACTGACCTAACTATACCCCTAATTTGCTGCGGTAAATTTTTTAAGGAAAATGCTCAGCTAGGAGAGCTACGGCTACGGTATCTGTCTCATCAAGTGCTTTGGTGTGTTGCCAGCCGGTGAACAGGACATGTTAATCATCACTGAGACAAATTTGGACAGATGACGGACCGTTGAAACACTTTAAAGACGACAAAAGATGACCTTTGAAAGTGCATAATATATTCTACGTTGAGCACAAAAGATCTTTATTTCTGCGCTGTAACAAAGAACTCTGTCCAACATAAAAACACAGCAACAAAAAATCCCGAAGCAGCATTAAAACGGCTAAATTAAAAGGAATGAACAAATGAACAAATGTGGCTATAATAAAGCCCAGGCGGCAAGTGATGAGATTTTGTCAACGCCGCACAAACGGTCCTGTTTCACGTAAAAGGA